ACCAGAGCTCTCTGACAGAGAAGGCTCAATGTCCCCGAAAAAAATACACTTCTCATGTATAGAAATGTAGCTGGCATTGCTATTGCTATTGCTATTGCTATTGCTATTGCTATTGCTATTGCTATTGCTATTGCTATTGCTATTGCTATTGCTATTGCTATTGCTATTGCTAGAGAAGTGTTCTCTCTAGGAATCTCTAAGTGCTCCAGTGTGACTCTAGGGTTAACTTCTGGCAGAAGCATACAATGGAATTGTGCTGGAGGACCTAGAGAAAACTTATTTTTTTTTTTCCAACATGTGAAAGTGAACCCGTGTCATACGGACTCGCATAATACATGGGCCACCTGTACCCCCTCGGCTATGGAAACCCACTGGGTGCATTGGGCAATTCACCCTCTCTCAGGATCAGAGAAAGGCGATGGCAAACCCCTCTGAACAAATCTTGCTAAGAAATCTCCAGGATAGATTTTCCTTAGAGTCACCCTAAGTCAGAAATTACTTGAAGGCACACGACAACAGACAGCTGATGTAAGCAACTAGCACAGTTACATAATAAAACCAGAAATATTAAGTCTACATTAATCTCCAGAAATTCTTCGACCAATCGTTCCAAGTTATTTTGCCAAAATTTCTGGTGATGTTCCAAAGACTACCTTTATGTCAGCGCTGTACACTACTTGTCGTTCTCTGCTGGGCTCTGCAGTGCTGCCAAGCACCTATAACTGCACAAGGTGCCAAAGGAATGCTGTATATACTCATGTATAAATCTAGAAATTTTAGTCAAAAAATTGACAAAAAAAACCCTGAGTAGACTTATCCATGGGCCAATGTAAGCACTGTACTTTAATTCTTAGAATTGTAGAATCATAGAATCATAGAGTTGGAAGAGACCCCAAGGGCCATCCAATCCAACCCCATTCTGCCATGCAGGAACTCTCCATCAAAGCATCCCCGACAGATGGCCATCCAGCCTCTGTTTAAAGACCTCCAAAGAAGGAGACTCCACCACACTTCTTATTTAAAAACGAACCATCTCTTGGTGAAAGGCAAGAGTGTAATCTGTCCTGGTAGCATTGACTGCATTTCATTTTCTCATCCATCCAACCTTTAGTGTGAGCAGAATCGTGTAACTTCTTTGCCATTGTTTCCCTTGGCTTCATCCTTTACATCCTTTGGAACATGCCCCTAAGTTTTACCCTCAACTTATTCACAGCTTGTATCAAAATCCATACTTTTGGTCCCAAAACCTGCATTC